CTGCTGCCTAATTTCAACTCTTGTTCTCACTGATTTTTGTCTGTAGCAATGTGGTAGGAGCTAGTAATCTTCCTTCCCTCTGCTGGTTTAACAGAATGGGAAGATCAGAGGACTGTGAGGGAATGCACAAGGAAGAGGCAATACGGTGACGTGTGTGTGTTTTTCTCAGCCTTTTTCAGGTTCTTGTGGCCATGCCTGCTGTTCCTCCACCAGTCCAAAACATCCTTGTTGATTTTAAGTCAGTCTCCACGCTGCTCTGGCGTTCACTTTACAGCTGTTGGGCACTCCTCTGTCCCCAGTACTTCACAGGCATCATGGGGTGCTGGATAGGCAGAGGTGCAGGTTACCATACAGCTACCGCCTTAGAGGTTAAGGATAATTAAAGAAAGAGCCAGAAGTGAGCAGGCAGTAAGATGCATATTTTTTTTAATTTTAAACAAAAACCCCAAAATTAAATGCTGCAAAACCCTGATGATATAAAGCTAAGGGTGTTTAATGCTGCTTGCTGCCATTTCAAAATGTGTTTTCTGATTATTTTTTTCCTTATAAATACTCTCTAGGCAGTTAAGATATGCTCCCTTAATACCTTTAATCTTAGCTCTTCTGTTTGAATGATGCCCCAAGAGCATCATCGTTTCTGGTATTCTTTCAGCACAGTCTGCACCTTTGCTGCAGTTAGCTCAAGTTAGCTCTTTCAAGAGGAATTAAAATCAGTATAACAATTTCTATGGAGAAAGTAGCTCCTCTGTGGAAACAGTCAAGCAGTACAGCATGACTCAAGCAGCGTAGGGTGATTAAAATCACACTCTGTTACTAGCCCAAGTATGAATGATATGCTTCAAGCATGTTCCTTGGGAGGCTAGCTAGACTGAATAAAACTTAAGCTGTGAATGTTTATAAGCACAAGAGCTGGTTAACAATACTACTTGAGTCATTCTTTAAGCAGTGTTGCAGAGAATATAAATGTAAAAGGTATACAGGGAAAGGAGTCCTGCGGATGCTTAAGCAAAGTTGGGGGTTTAGATAATTCATATTAAATTAGGGTTTTGTACATTTCAGTAGTAGGTTTTCCTCAGACCTCCAAGAATACCTTCTGAGATACTGCCTACATTTACTTTCGCAAAATGTTGGAGGCCAGGTATGTGTGCTGGCAGTCTTCATGGCAAGAAAATACTTTCATATTTCTCTGCTGGCACAACCTCCAGAACTCAGTGCTGAATGAGGCACAGTTATTTTTCAGGATATGCAGCCACCATTTGCAGTATTATTTGACCAACTGCCACACGAAATCACTCTATAATTCAGCCCAGTAGCACGTAGTTTAGAGTTTTAGTTAGAATGCAGAAAGAGTGCAGTTTAGTTCAGCGGATGAAAACAGAAACACATTATTCCTAAAAGTTGTTCATCAGACTTGCCTTTGACAGTCCTCACAGAGGCATTCCCCCCCTTAGTAATTCCAGAGAGCAAAATCGTACTTCTTGGTTCTCTCAGGATTAAATTTTACACTGTGACCCTCCAGAAGAGTATGAGGCAGTCATGAGCAACCTTTCATTTTGTATGAAACATGTTTTTGCAGAATTAGTGAAATATGCCTGAAAACATAGCAAATAATTGGAAGCCTACATTTTGATTTATGTTAAATTGAATTCTAAAAAATCGGGTTTGTGAGTTTTGTAGTACTTGGGTTAGATCATGTTAAGGTAGGGATTACTTTATGGGAATGTCAAAAAGATTAGGCTAACTTCTATAATATGAAGAAACTTGGAATATGGAGATAAGAGAAACAAGGCAGTCTGTCCGTGGATCATCACAGAGAACATTTTTCTTTTGCTTTCAGCTCTTGTTTGTTTTTGTTCCTGTTGCCACAGTAGAATTTTTACATCTGTACTTGATAAAATAATTTCTGTATCTGACATACAAGTGTGTTGTAATGCAAGTTTATTTTTTTATAACAATAGCAATGTACTGGTATAATTATGAACATTTCAAGAAGATGATGTGCAAGGAAGTTGGTGCACATGAACCAACATTTTTTATTGCTTTTACTTCAGGAGCAGCATCTGGCTCCGTAAGTATATATTTTTGTTTCTAGTACTACTCATTATTATCACTAATAAACTATTTAAAAGAGGTATGATTTTATATAATTCTCTTAGAAATGATGTATGTTTTGGGGTGCATCTACTTTAAATACACATGGCCTGGCATTCAAGCTGATTAGCATATCTGAATAAATTACAGTGTTCTGAAATACAAGACTTTGAATGTTATCAGGCGCTTGGAATATCAGGTCTAGTTTTAAATTCTGTGCACTTTAATTCAAAAGTTTTGATGAAATTTTAATTTTTCGTGCTCTAACGTGAAAACTGATTTCTTTTCCTCATAGATTGCAGCTGTTATAACTCTGCCATTTGATGTAGTGAAAACACATATGCAGACGGAACTTTGGGAGAGTGAGACCTTAAAAAGTAAGTTGCTGGTAAGGAGAAAAAAAACCCATCATGTTCGGAAAAATAAAAGCTAGTGTTTAAGCATATAGACTTTTAGTAGGAATTTTAAACTCTATCTCTAAGGCCTTTCTTCTCCAAGTTGTAACATCTTGTAGGATTTTTTTAATCTCCTAGGATAAATACGGTATTTCATTAGTGGCATGGAGAAGGGAAAATGTGTGAGTTCAGAACCATTTAGGTTAATAAGATGGTATAAAATCTAAACAAAAAAATCCAGAACCATTACATTTAGGCAGACCAGTTGCAAATTTGTGCACATTTAAGTAAGTTATATTTAAATAGGCAAAAAATTAATTTCTTATAAAACATTGAGGTGAACAGTGATCTATTGAAAAAGACTTGAGTTGATAAAAATATGATAAAATGTTTGCACATTCACTACCACTTACTCCTTTATAACAATATTCTTCTTTTTTAAAATATTAGACTAGAGAGAGAAAGCACTGTGCTCAGGTTGTGTGGTTTTTACCTTCTTTCTGTGTGATTTCAAAGAAATTATTTTTGAGGGCATATTAGTGAAAATCCCAACAGCTTTTAAGGATGAAAGAGGAAGGAAGTTTCTTCTGTTCTGTGTTCAGTAGAGCACCACGGTGTTTTATACAAATTCAAGTTGTATCTGAAACATTTTTTTTTTTTTTTCCATTGCTGGGGACCTGGACCAGTGAGGGACTTTCATTAACTTAAATAAATGTTAGATCATGGCTTTAAGATTACAGAGCAGTAAAAAGGCTGAGTACCCAAACAGTTTCTGCTTAGAAACTGATTTGAAGGCCCTTGGTCAGAAAGATGTTACGAAAACTTAGTGCTTGGTTTTTGGCATGAAGTTTCATTCTCTCCAGTAAACTATTTTTTCCTGGTACAATTCTTGAAAAAACGTATTTATGTTCATTGCAGAACAGACAATGATCAAAAAAGCTTTAAATATAAATGGTTACTGTGTTTCAATTCTTCCCTTGTGCTGATGAATGTAAGAATTCATTGCTAACACCACTTTGAATCACAGGTAGCTGCCATATGTTTATTAGGCTGATATTAACTAGATTAATATATATTTAAAATTTCATTATGGTTATCTGTAATTTGTAGTAGTTTAATTCTTTCCAAATCCAGTTGCTGGTAGAGTTGGGCACTGACTATGCATCTACATATTGTCTCTCAGTGGCTGCAAAAATATTTTACGGATTCCAGATGCTGTGGGATGTTCCTACTGAATGTATTCTATGAAACCGTTTTAACGTTCATCTAGAAAAAAATTTTGTAGCTGCTTCCATATTACGGATCAATGAAAACAGCATGTGCAGAGTGAAATAGCACAAAGTAATTCCTCTGTTTAAAGTAGTTGCATATGCCTGCAATGCAGATGATTGCTTCTTGATGCTTCTGCTGTTAGGTTGCTTATGGTGTGTGATTTAGTTCTACAAGGGACTGCAATCCACATCTCATAGACCTATACTTTCTTAAAGTAACTTATAAATTTAGGGGAGGATTGATTTTTGTAAACTTAGATGTAAGGTGCAGTGTCCTAGCTTAATTTTTATATTCATTCTTATGATATAAATTCTCAAAACTTACCTTTAGATTCAGTTTACCATGAAGGCAAGTTCTTGGTTAAAAATCTGAATTGTGATGATCTTTTAGCTGCAGATATAGAGTGACATGGAGAGGCACTGGCTCATTTGAAAGCTAGAGGACTTTTTTCAATTATATTGGTTACTGTAGTAAGGAATATTGTCTCTTCATATATCTTACTCCAGGTGCTACTACAGTTTTTTCCATGTCATGCTGTTTTAACTTGAGTATTGTATGAATTTGCATACTGTATGAATTTAACATCCTGTATAAATAGTATGGATAAAATTAACATAAAATTAATTAAACCTAATAATTAGATCTGACACTTCAGATCTCTGTCTCTGATTTCTAAGAATATTTTTCTGTGGCATTGTATATGTTGCTTAATTCACTGTTTTCTTGTACTGTGTTGAGTTTCACAGAGGCACTGTACATCAACCTGGGCAGTTATGAGGAAAATTGTCGCTAAAAATGGGATTACTGGATTATTTGCTGGTAAATATTTTGACATCTTTCTAAAAAAACTCAGACTAGAGAGAAAGTTTTTTAATCAGTAAGAAGTGATTATAGATGTTAACATGCATAAATTATATAATATTTCCATCTCTGTGAACGCTCTCAATTATGGAATAGTTTGTATATATACAGCAACAGACATGCATACGTATGGAGAGAATTTTGGTAATCTCTTCACAAATTACTAAACTACAGCTGTCTAAGATGGACACGATTTATTTAAAAAATACAGGCGTTGGGCTTGACAAATACAGCTGTGGCAATTAAATCCGGTGGGGAAAGGTTCAGTTCAGGAAATAGGTTTTTTAAAATTTAAATAATTTGTTGATTTCTTAAACTTTAATGCTTGGGTTTTTCAGAAAGAATTGGTACAAAGGAAATTTAATGGATTGTAGGTTTGGAAACTACAGTATGGAGGAGTTTCTAGACTGAGAAAGTTTCTTAGATGCAGTTTTTAGCCCAGTGCTAAAAATTTCCAAACTGTCAGTAGTGTTGCAGCATCTATATTTTGGAATAGCCATCCTAATTTTTGTTCTTCATCTCATACTAGTTTCTATACTCAAACTTTTTGGTTCTTTCTGTCTTAGAAACAGATCTTAAGCTTCAGTGGTATTTTTCTGTCTCCCTTCTTAATCTTTGAAGAAGATGCATTATTGAGAAACCGAGAAGTCTGAGTGTGGAATAGATACTTTGAAGTAGAATTCACATAATAAAATACTGTTATTAGCCTGTGGAATATGAGGCCCAGGATAGATCCCATCTACCCTATGATGCAGTCATTTTAAGTTGGTCTTTGATGCAGTTTTTTAACAGAGGACTGGAAGATAAGGCAATTATATTAGTATTTGTTTGTTTGCTAGATGGGACTAATTATATTGAGTACTGTATAATATTTGGGGCATTCAAGGCCATGCAACAACTATTGCCCAAGAATTTTTTCCTTTAAGTTTTCTATCTAACTAGAAACATTATTTAAAATATTTGTTAAATTTTTATGTTTAAACAGATGGACAAACACAAGCTTGACAAATTAATGAGTTCTGAATGAGTCAAAGAGTTTTTAAATTTTACTTGTACATTATCTTGTGTACTCACAAGTGTATACATCTTACGTGACTTCCTTACCCTCACTGAACCTATGGAGGGACCAGTGCTGACCAGCTGTGTCCAGTGTTCAGCACATCAGTACATAGTTTAGTATGTAGCTGGTGCCGTTGTAGTTCCCCTGAGCCATTCAGTAGGACAGAATGTCACTGTTTAGAGCCCATTTAGCTGTGTAATTCCTTTATGTATTTTATTTTTCTTCTTTCATGGACCGTCTTAAAGACTGTCTCTTAGTCTTTTTGATAGCTTTGGCAAAGATCACTTTTTAGCCCTGGACAACGTGCAGTGGTTCTTTCTGCTGCTGACCAGCACAGATGTATCCCTGACCATCATATGATATCTTGGCCATTTAAACCCTGCATATTTATAGAACAGAAAAGAAACCCACAGGAATACCTTCTGTGTCTTTTTCAAATCCTGGCAATTCCCTGAAACCAGTGAGCCCTACCTAATTATATAACCTAATTCTTGGTACTAACTTCAAGTCTCCAGCAATGAGGCTGGCCATTTTTCCAGAGAGGTTC